CACCATTAAACAGAGGTGGAGGCCTTCGTGTCCTGTTGTCCTCCTCCTACAATGCTGTTATTGCAAGTATGACTCCGCCCCCTGTGAGCAAAAGATGTGAATCAGAGCCCCAATGATACCAACACAAAGAGGGACAAAAACAAGTGGAAGTTGAACCCCCGCTTGCATTCACTACTTGCACATAACTCGACACGGGTCAAGTGATGGGGCAGATGACCCTCTAAGAACAATAGAGCTAATCAAGCCTATTGTTAGTCGATGGCCCTCTTTTGCATGTGACTAACCTGTTTGTCCAGGTGGAGACAGGGCTTATAAGGCTGAGTTCACCTGAAACTCATCAAACTGAAGAAGTCTCTTGGAGGAGAGACGAAYCGTTTCACTAAAGAAGAACCCATCCAGAGGACCTACTTATTTTGTKTTTTTGATATAGCCATGTTGGTGTTTTCTAAGTTCGACTAGCTGTGGCTGCCATTTTGAATTGGACTGACTATGAMACATAACCACTAGATTAATTCATTACTTCCAGAGAGTTTCATTAAAATCTAGCCAGTGATAAGAAATGGTTTGCCAACAAACAAACATACAGAAACACAGATAAAATGTTATCGCCTGGCTTTCGTCTTTTGATGTAGGCAAATAATAAACAGCAATGAAATGAAACATTACATTAAAATAGACTTTGAATAAACTTTTGATAAATTATGATAACCAGAMGGACAATGAGAAAGAAAATAACTTTTTTTTTATCTTAAACAGAAACTCTTCTCTGATTTGTGTTCAAAAATTGAGCATGCTACACATGCTATGTGTCGGAACCTTGTASGCTTTTGCAAAATTGTATCATGTAAAATTAATAGTCAGAAAAAATGTCACTGAATAATATTTGCCACTTTGCGATTACCCCAATCACTACCATGTGACTAAAGGAATTTTGTGGCTAAGTGAATTTAAGATACAGTCTTGTATTTTACATTTTGTGCAGTCATATTCTTCAAACAGAGTCAGTGTGTCTTATCAATATAAGACCCTTATATCTGCAAAAATAAAGTTTGGTTTATGGTTCTAATGTCTGATGTAAAAGGTACCACCGCTAAGGGTGTGACCAGGAAGTTATGTAATGTCACGTTACTTTAAGAGGTTGATTCATCATTAATCATTAGTCTTACTTTAGATCAGCCRGGACGGGACACTGGCTGCTGGAAGAGATTATTATTGTTTTGGTTCTGATAAGACCATTCACTCACAGACCTGCTGCTGGCTGACTGTGGGKCCTATTGTAGTCAGATTTTTGAGTAAAGCTTTTTAGAAGAGAAACAACTGGTTTTATAAACTTATTCAAACTTCCAATTTATTGAAAACGCTTTTCTTACACGATGATGGCGTACTTCTTGAGTGTGACAAACTCTCACTATCACAGCCATAAAATGTAAAATGAAAGTCAGATGATGCAATCCAAGATCACAAAATCAGTTACAGCAAACTCTCCTCCATGAAACAGTGGAAACAAATCAGCTGAGAATCCACAGTGCTCTCAGTGTGTTCATTACAAGCTGCAAAGTAAGTGRTGGTGGACATATTGGGGGGTATGGTCATGACCAGTGGTGGGCAGCGCTAATCCAAATATTAGCTCCGCAATTTCTAAAGCGCTTATGAAAATATTTAGGTCCGCAACTTCAAAAGTGCTTATGCCATAGAAAAACTAGCGGAAGCTAATTTTAAAGCACAAGTTCAATTTGACACTTACTAGCTGACAACAATTCATGCACAATATATGTACAACACTGACAACTAGCGGTGTATGAACTCTTTTACAGCTTAATCCTACAATCGCCGATTGCTGGGGATGTGATTTCCTGAAACAGACCTTTGGTGTAAAAATTTAAAAAGTTGTTGAGGATTGCTAGTTTGGCTGCTTCTTTGTCTTTTTCTTTTGTTAGTTGTAAATTTTTCATTAAAGAAGCATCAATAAAGTAATTTTAAAACTGTTTATTGGAAAACTGAAGCGATGCATTCTGGGTACATGGCAGATTCGATTTGTGACGAGAAATGAAAGCACGGAGAACAGGAAACTATTTTCACTTCAAAATAAGAGCATGGATTTTAAAGTTTTCCATGTAGTTGCTCCAGTTGACCACTAGATGTC